CGCCGCCGCCTCCTGCCGCCCGCCCCGTCCCTCCCCTCCCCTCAGCGCCGCTCCCCGCCCGCCCGCCGGGCTCCGAGGGGGCGCCGCAGCCCGCCCGCCCTCCGCCTGCGGCGGCCGTTAGGCTTCAACGGCAGCAAAAAGAGGAGGGAAAGGGAGAAAAGCCCAGGCGGGAGTCACCGATGGAGCCGCCCGGGCGCTGCGGACCCTGGGGCAGGCGCCATGAGGTGCCGGGGGCCAGGCCTGGCCCACCTGGAGCCCAGGCCATAACAGGGCTCCCCACGCAGGGTGGGCCCAGCCCACGGCACCTTCGTGACCATCACCAACAGGCACCTTCGTGACCATCGTCACAGGCCATGGTCAGGCTGTTGGGGACACCGAGAGGTCACTGCCACCCTCAGTGTTGCCGAACACAAGCCAAGGAACCTGCCTGGAAAACACAAAGCAGCACCAAGAAGTAACTCCTGAAGGGGCCCCGTGTGTTTGTGCATTCCCTGTGAAACAGCTTACGGGCTGATTCCAGAGTGTTCCCGTTTTGGGACATGCTGCACAGGCCCAAACCCCTGCAGTTCCCTCAGGAACAGCACCCATTGAGCTGACCTGATGGCCAGGCCCCCATGGCTCATCCACTCTGTTCCACCATGGAGAACATCCAGCCTCATCACCAACCTCCAGGACATCATCCCAGCGTGCGCTCACCATGACGTGGAGGAGCAACGTCCTTCTCCACCAAGAGATGGACGCACCACGCAGCGGCATCGATGGCACAACGTGGTCTGGCTGGGAAGGTCAGTACCCAACAGGCAGAGACACGCACCACAAATCCCATTCGGCACTGCAGCCTTCCCACGTGCTGAACCCAAGCACACCATGCAGCTGCCCTGCACGGCTCCAGAAGCTCCCACCACCTTGCCCATGGCCATGGACTCCACAGTGAAGTGCTGCTTCTCCATCTCACTTCCCCTGCTCTCAAGGAGTACTACAAAAGAGATTTTTCACAGTCATTTTCCCTCCCAGCTTCACTATCAACTGCTTTACCGCACCACAACATTCAATTATCCTTAGCACGCATGACTATTTTCCACTTCCCCAAAACACACCATTTTCCAGAGCAGCAAAACCCAAGAAGTCTCCCATAAATGGAACTTAATTTGCTCAGTACCTCTCAGGCATCTGGAGCATGTTACGATCTACAAGGATTACTATTGTTTGAGGCCATTATGTCTGATTTCTTTAAGGTTGCTTGCAACTCTCAAGATGCCTCTAATGTGCTCCAGAGCAACAGGGGAGCCCACCTGCAGCTAATTTAACCATTATACACTCCCATAGGTAGTAATGAGAGACCCAGCTCCATGCTGTACATCAGTTGCCTGAGCTGTGTTCTGATAGTTGAAGTGCAATTCCTTTAAACATTTCACTTGYGATAACTTTGTGCCTATTAAGGCAACAGGTGATTAATTCTTTGTGTGAGAACTATGATCCAAATAGATGCAAAACATTCAGCATTTAAACTGAAAACAAACTGAAAGAACACATCATGTTTCTGCATTCAAAAGTCACCTTAGAAAACTTCTGGCCTCGCAGGTCAGAGTTGCTGTCTGTAGCTTTCAAGGGTCGTACAAAGAGCCTGGGGCAGCAGAATCGTAGAGTCAGAGAATCATAAAGGGACCTTTTGAGATCATCTAGTCCAACCTCCCAGCACATACAGGGTCAAGAAGGCAGCACACCCTAAAAAACTGCCCAGGTGAGTCCAGCACTGCAGCCTTCTCTTTCCCATTGTTTTCCATGGGTGGCAAGTTCAAATTCCAAATGGCTAATTCTTTTCCAACATGGCTGTTATCTCAGGGCCTCATCTTTGTGTTGGATATTCTTTTCCTCACCTTTTTCTGGTGAGAAGTCATCTAGCACGTATATAATTATATTTGGTTCTCATTTTGTTAATRCAAACATGATTGCTGTAATCACCTGTCCCTTCTCCTTGTCTCAAAATACTATTAAGGACCCAGAAAATATATATATATATGCGCACCTACAATGCCAAGGAAGTTCAACATCAGTGAACTAGAATGTCCATATATATAATATTGGTTACTTCAGCATATTAGGAAAACCACACATTTCAGATGATTTTATATTTTATTTAGATGAAACCACATTTCAGATGATTTTATAATCACTATTTTAAAAGCATAAGTTAAGGATGGATTGTCTTTTTTCCAGGCTGGAGTCTGAGTTCTTCCTCTACAAATAAAATTAGACCCTGTACATTGTCTGCACATAGGATCTTGCCACTGATTCAAGTGTTTAGATTTTAACACAAGGCAAATATGAGAAGACCAAGTTCATGACTAGCTCAGCAAGTGTCTGAATTTATATATATCTCAATTTAAACCAGATGTTCTAGAAAATGCTATTCATAAGCACCCATATCATTAGGATAGTCATTATCACCTTTATTAATGCTCAGAGGCACAGACAGCCCTGCAGAGTTTACACCCRAGTATCACACATCTTTCCTGACGTGATCTTGGTGAGAAATTACCAGCTGTAGTTCTAATGATCATCCAAGGACATTTAATTAGCCTTGTAAAAGGTGCCTTGGAAATCAGGGGCTGCCCCCTACCAAACGCTGCTCGGTCCCAGAGCTGTGTGTGCAAGGGAGTGATCGAGGACACAAAACCCCCAGACATGACCCAGTGGGGCACAAGTCACTTAGGCCCTTTTGCACCCAAACCTGTGCCCCACTTTCAGCAGTGCCATCATCCTGCCTTGAGTGGAAGAGCCAGATATTTAATGGCACAGGCCCAAGAGCTCTGCTGGAACTGGGTTACAGAGAGCAGAAGAGCTATTTAACCGGTTACCAGACATGCCACACTATTATACTTGAGCAATTTGCTTGGAACAGCCACAGTTTACCTTGTCAACAGGTGTCTTTTGTTTTTGTTTTGTTTTTTTCTCTACGAATAAGTATTTATTAACTGCACATCACTGAGAACTGTATCAGTACTCCTTACAATGAATGGCAATATAAACCTACCCAAACAATCTGCTCAGTCCTAATCCTGCTGAAGTGACCACAGGACTCAGCATGAGCTTTGGATGCCTAAGAAAAGCAGGGATCAGGTCTAGAATCGGGGGTTTGTGTGCCTGTTGTCTCAGCCCTTCTGGTGTTGAATACAGCTGGAGTTTTGCCAGTGATTTAAATGGAAGCCAGGCTAATTCCCTTGTGTTTAAGATAAGCCCATCTCCAATATTGGACTTTCCACCAATGGGACTTAATGGGCACAGGGACTGCTCTTGCCAATTCAGCTGCCAGAGTGAACCCTCTGTGTCCATTAGGCTTTACCAAAAAAAGAGTAATAATATAGTCTGTAAATCTTTTGAGACTCARTTTTTCAAAATATTCCAGCACATGTTTTACTAAAGTACCTGAGGAACTTAGCTGACTACTCATAATTAAAAGTAAGGACCTGCTTAAGTGCTGGAATGAGCCCAAACCACAAGCCAATTTTTATTTAAAAAAAGGCAACTTAACCAGCCTCAAAAGAAACACAAAATCATCTGTGCAGAAGAATTTGTAATTAGGACAAGCTTTATTTCAGTTTCTTATGAGTTTTCTTTTCTTTCTTTCACAGAATATGAAATCAATTTTCTGAAGACTAAGAATACTATATTTCCATTTGGAACAAACTGTAAGTCTGAGGATAAAATTTTAAATATAGATTTTAATAGTAAAAATCAGTCATGCATGAAATATTCATACCTATACCAAGACTAGGAAGCACTGCTGGAAAATTGTTGCTGGTAAATTTACTCAAAATTCTCATCATCTTAGTAATGATGAACACTATGAAACTCTAATAGAAAAATTACCAGCATAGGCCTATCATTCTCTTTTGTTTAGATTCCATTTCCTTCTCTTCTCATTTGCTTTAAATACAGAGCACAATGACAATAAGTGCATTGCCATACCATAAATTGTTTTGTGCTCTGTATGCATTCCGCATGGAAAATGTTTGCAGACCTTTTTGATGGTCAGAAAGCAGTGTTGCTGTACTGCCTGATTATTTCATGAGTATTTTTCACTTTAGCAGACAGACCTATTCAAAAGCACATTTTAGAAGTGCCCGCTGCATTTCCTCCCCACCACAGGTAAAGAAAAAACTCATGTCTGAAAGGCACAGCTGTTAACTATACCACAACACTCATTTAAAAGAAAAATGGACCACCAGCCAACAAAAGAGCTAGGAAAGGAATACGAACAGCACAAAATCCAGCAGGTCAGAATGGCCACTCGTTAAAAAAATCCTGGTCTTTCACTCCAGACTGAGCAAGGTTTGACACCAACAAATATCCTGTGGACAACATGGAGGAGACTGCAGTTTTCACTGTKTATTGTTGCCCTTTAGGAATATAAAAACAATTATTCCGATTTACACTAATAATTCCTTAGCCCGTTGGCTTGTACTCTCTGATAGCAATGACTGCCACTATGCTTATTTTGAAAAGACACCACGTGGAATATACCAAAGTCCTTCTCTCTAGGTCACGATTTCACATCACTCCTAGATGACCAAAGATATTTTCTTTGACAAGGGTTAGAAACATCAACTTTTTATAAGAACTCTTCCCAAAGAAGCAATCTTAAAATATTACTAAAGACTTAAGGTAGAAAGGCAGAAATGCAGCATCACCCCAAAGTGATATTGAGCACAATGCACAGGGAACACAATGTGAGGACTGCACAGTAACAA